CCTGCCGGCAGTGCCCGGCCGGCACCTTCTCCAGCGCGGCGGGACGCAGCGCTTGCAAACTCTGTCGGAAGTGCGAAGGTACCGGCAGCCCCTCTATGACTTCCCGTGGCAACGACGGCACCTGCCCTGGCTGGCACCTGCCCGCGGGGTGATACGCTAAATAACTCCACGCGTCTGCGGGGCTTCTCGCTGAAACTACCAGCCTGATTTTTGTAAGAGCAAAGGTCCTGAGCCTTTGCTGCATCACGCTGGGCATGCACGAATCCGTAACCTAAGACTCGTTTTCCCGTTCCAGGAATATTCAAGTATTTAAAAGAGTGTTCCTCAAAAAGCGATGCTGAATGCACGTGCAAGGACGGGTATCGCTGCAGTGACGACGGCTGCACCCACTGCGACCGAGGCTGTGGTGTGGGCCAAGAGAGCACCGGGAACGGTAAGGTTACCTTCCCCCACCAGCTGAAAGCCCCTGTGCTTACTGCACTAGACACGCTTACTGCACAGTCTCTTGAATACTGTAGAAGCAGCTGGAGTAAAGACCTCGCAAGATAAAACGTGCTGCTGCTGCTGAACAGTACGCATGGAGTGCGGAGCAAGCACAGCAGTGGAGAAACCCACCAAACTCTGAGCCTTACTGTGGCTCAAATCCTGCACCAGTTAGTTTACTTGGCATGACAGCTCCTTTGTCACTGGCATGAGGAAGACCAAGCTGTGAACTCCCGACTTAGACGTGGTTTGTGGCATCTTGTGCCAAAATAACCTGGCTTTGTAGCTGAGTACTGTACTGGTCCGTGGCTCACAGGGAAAGACTTATCTTACATACTCAGAGCAGCTTATGAAATAGTAATTATGTGAATGTTGATTACAGTCATTGTACAAGCAGGCAAAAATAACGTTTCACATGTTGTGTTTTAAATGTTTATCTTGTACAAATTTACCTGTCCTTGTCTGTTGAAGGTTGCCAGACTTGCCAATATGGAACTTTTAATGATCAGCCCAATGGCTCCTGTAAAAACTGGACAAAGTATGTAATCTAAATGCTACAGCTATTACACTTTACTGGATTTTTTTTCTGTAGCTTTTTTTCTTTTCCCTGTTCTGCTGTAAATGTCTTTCAGGTGCTCTACAAACCAGATCCTGGAGCCTGGAACTGCAGAAAAAGATGTCATTTGCAAACATGCTTCAGTTAATCCCACTTTAGTCACTACTCTACCTACCACATCGCTTGCAATTCCATTTTCTATCACTGGGCCAGGTGAGTCATTGTACAATGCTGCTTATAGAGCTAAAGAATTGTGACCTACTTTGAAACATACGTTCACTTTCCATTTAAAGCAAGAGTCCTTTCTTCTATGCATTTCTAGTGTTGCAGACTTAGCTAGAAGAAGAGTGGGAGACAAAGTTGTCGGCTAATTCAAGGGCAGTAGAATTTTTTTCTGTTAAAACTCTTAAGAGAATGTTGTTTAATTCCTAGGGAAGGATCTCCAGACAGACATTATCAGGATTTTTCTCACCGTAGCTGGGCTGTTGTGCATAGTGTTCCTGCTACCTTTGTGCATATGCTTCGGTGTCTGGCAGAAAAAGAAACTACACGCTGTCTTCAAAAAAAGTAAGATAAATGCACTCTTCAGTTTTCTTTGTGAAACTAGAGAGAAGTCAGGAATCCAGGTTAATTGTCTTTTAAAGAAAGTTGCAATAGCTTCGGTTTTTTTGGCCTTGTAAGTCAGAAACAACTGAAGGGAAAACAGTTTTGGAATTTTTATTGCAGAAGGCACTTACTTAACTGTGGGTGTTCTGTAAACTGCTTTCTTATCCCTTCAAGTGAAGTATTCATGGGAGGTGAAAAAGCTCACCTGAGCCTTGCTGATCCTGTCAAGGGTCAGTTCAGTTTATTACTTTCAAGTACCATCCTTGGCATCTGTGGCTATAACACTTTCGAGTGCTCTCTGCTTAGAAACAGTACGCATGGCCTGGAGTGAGTGCCTTGGAGCTCTGACTGTGGTAGAAGAGGAGATATCAGTCAGGATGTGCTGCTACACAGGTGCAGAGGCAGCCTGAATCCAACACTGCCCTCTGAGAGCTAATAAACGCTGAGGAAGCTCAAGAGTTCAGCAAAAAGATGGAGTGTAATTGCATTCAATGTAGTTTGTAGTTGGCTTGTTTGGTTTTCTGAGGGACGTTCAGGTTCGAGATCAGGAGGAATTTCTTCATAAAATGGGTTGTTAAAGATTGGAAGGGGCTGCCCAGGGAGGTGGTGTAGTCACTGTCACTGGAGGTGTTCAAGAAACAACTGGACAAAAAACACAGTGCCATGGTCTAGTTGACAATGTGGTGTTCAGTCAGAGATTGGACTCAATGATCTCAGGGGTCTTTTCCAACCTAGTTGTTTCTGTGATTCTTTTCTTTTTCTTCAGTGCATATCACACCTGAACAGTCAATTCAGGAAGATGACACCTGCAGCTGCCGCTTTCCTGAGGAAGAACAAGGTGAATATCAGGACCGTGGCAAATCCACAGAATTCAGAGATTTTTTGGTGAACTAGAAATTGAACTGTCCAAGTCAACCACATTTGAATTTTCTTTTGGAATACAGAACAAGAACCTGTTTATGTAAATAGAGAGGTTATCAGAATCTGAGTGTCAGAGTCCCAAATAGCCCAGCCACTGAGAAAAAAGTATACCTTTTCCATCTCTTAAAAAAATAAAAATAAATAAAAAATATCTAGTTTGCTGACTTTCTTTCTCTAGGGCTAAGAATCATTCTAAGAAGTGGTTCTTGATCTACATTAGAAATACAGCACTTAAAAGCTCTAATGGAAGGGCAGAATGGCTTTCTGGTCCCTCATTAATGGTGCCTGAGCTACAATTTACATGCAGTCCAAAAGTATTTTATGCTAAAAAGGCGATCTGTAGCACATAGTAGAGGCACAGGTGACACGGTCTCTTACCATTACCAGCCCTCCTCCTGTGTCTAGAGCTGAGCTCCTCCCAGAATTTGGCACACCCTCTCATATATGTCAGGGAGAGGAAGCCATAAAAATCTAGAGCTGTGAAGTGTTCCATTGCTTGCATCTGCTGTTGTGTTACACTGATTGGCTTAAGGGAGGCAGTGGAAACACTGAGAAGCTGTGGTTGACTTGATCTTAGAAATAGCTGTTACCGAGCAGCTGGACTGCACCACCTTCAGCCCTACATCATTCAGCTTTGATCTTTTAGGTGATGTAAACTTTACCTATGTTGCAGCTCTACATGTGATAACTTTCTGGTACTATTTTTGTAACTGAGGTTGGAAAGATTTTAACATCAGATGCTATCTGTCTCTCTGATCAATTACTGTTACTTTGGTCTTGAGAAAAAAATGTTTGAGTCATGGCATTTGCAACACCATTTTTAACCTTTTACAAACCCCAAGTATTTTATTTCTTCAGTAAATGTTATTAAAAAAATAGAATGAAAACCCACCAATATGTCACGTAAAGGGTGGTTTCCTCTCTGTGTGATTTCAGCACAAGGGAACACTGTTCTTGCATTTGTACACAGGCAGATAGTGACAGAACAAAGGGGAATGGTTTTAAACTAAAGGAGGAGAGATTTAGATAAGATATTAGGAAGAAATTCCTCCCTGTGAGGGTGGTGAGGCCCTGGCACAGGTTGCCTGGAGAAGCTGGGGCTACCCCTGGATCCCTGGAAGTGTCCAAGGACAGGTTGGATGAGGCTTGGAGCAACCTGGTCTAGTGGAAGGTGTCCCTGCACCTGGCAAGGGGTGAGACTGGATGAGCTTTAAGGTCCCTTCCAGCCCAAACCACTCTGTGATTCCATGAAAACTCTTTGAGCTCTAAGTGTTGTCTGCTTTCTGTGCATGTCTCTTTTCTCCAGAGTCATTTAATTTATTATGTAGCATGCAAAAAGGAACTGGGAATGCCATGATGACTCTCAAGCAGCCTAGGTGGCCCAGGATGAGGTAACAGGCCAGATGCAAGCTTTTTGTGTTTCCATTTGTTTTTCTTGGAAGTCAGAAGGGGCTGCCTTTGCCAGACCATGCGTGGAGGCCCAGGTGATGTCAGGCAGAGTTCTGAAGGCATGGAAAAAGGAGACAAATTCTCTTTAAAGATTAGTAAAAGCAGGGGAGTCTGCTGCTTTTTTATTGCTTCCAGAACCAGCACCATTTCCTGGCATAGTTAGTAGTGGCATCAGTAATTAAAACTGTATTTGTCACACATCTTAGCTCCATAATTTCTTACAAGAGTTGCATGGCTAAAGCAAGTAAAAGGTTCATAGCAAAAGGTTTTCTGTTTCTCACTTTCCTTTCTTCTACAGGTGTTTCTGTGCCTGATAGTACTGGATGATAAATACTCAGAAACTGTAATGGCTCCTCTATAACATGTACACATCATATAATTTTTTAAAGCAGAATGTGATTTCTTATTTTCAGTCTTTCTATCAGATCCTTCATAGGATAGAAGCATAGTTTTCTCTGACAGTCATTCTGATACTAACACTGATGATATAAAAACCTTTGAGGAGATGGTCCATTCTGACGAGACGTAACACACAGGAAATAGTATTAAACACGCAACTTGTACCACTCCACTTGCATTTTAAATAGGTGACAAAAAGTTAAGGTAAATTTCATTATAAAATTATACAAAGTCTTATTTTATTACCTCAGTCCCTCTCTCAGCAATGAAAAAGCCTTCCCTGATACAGTGCTTTCTTCAGAGACTGTAAGAGAAGGCTCTCTGTTCCACAGGTTTTGTCTTAGCTGTGCATCAGGAACACATGGCTGAGGATCCTTCTGTCCCTGGAACTGGCATGAAAACAGCTGTTGGATACTAGAAATGCCCTCACTGTAAATAAGAACGTTTAATACCGTCTACAAAGAAAACGGAATTTCCCTCTAACATGCTTTTGGCAGGAGTTTGTTATGATATCACCTACTGTGTTCCCTTTCACCTTCTAGATCCTGGGTGCCTGCCAGTTCAAAGCATCAGACTATTCCTGCAATATTTTGAACCAAACTGGATTGTGCTTCAATGAAGCAAAACCACCAGCTGAGCACACACTGAAACTAAGGAAAATCTCTCCTGTTCTATTTGCATTAAGAAAATAAGTTTTATTTGATTTAGCAAGTGCAAAACCCCATACAAAGACACCTACTTCAATTTAAGGATGACTTATCATAGTGCATCTTAAAACTGTTACATCTACTCTCAGGCTACATAATCCAAACTGAAACAAGCCATTTAAAAACTGAAATAAAATATCTGCATTACCCACTTAAATCAGTTTTAAACCAAATCTAAGGTTAGTTTAGCTCACCTTTCTCCTGCACACAAGAATTTCAGCAGGTTTAGAACAAACACAGTTCTGGAAAAAAAGAGGAATGTGAGTGGAGAGGTGAAAGAGACAATTTGTCTTTAGTTACAACACTATAGACCTGAGAAACATTTACATTTAAATAAATCCTTCTAGTATTCACAACATTGATATTTTGATACTTTGCATTTAGAACAAGTATAAACCATTTAACCTGAAGAGAACACTATACAAGCCTGTAAGCAGGCAAAAAGACAAAAAGAAAAAACAAGGTATCACACTACTTTACTCAGTGCACCTTCATACAAATTTTAGAGAAACTTTGAAATAGAAAGTAAATGTGCATACATGCCTAAAGCAAAATTTACTGAAGTATCTAAAGCCTAATATATTTTTCTTATACTAGAATGGAAAATACAGTGACAGGTATATGAAAGGAGGGTGGGAAAAAACCATTCTTGACTTCAGAGGAGCTGCAACATTACTGCTCAGCACCATACTTGTCTTATCAAGCAACAATCTCATCAGAAGGGTAAAGAGATCCAAAAGCCCCACACTCCCCATTTACATTATCAGCTTTAGAGGCATCCTTAATAATACAGCATTTTGACTTGCTGTGGTACACCTCAGTAAGCATATTACCTTAGAGAAGTAGAGGTGTAAGCACAGGAAATGCTTAAGGGTTCCCTCAAACTTAGAAGTTCTAGTAAGAGAAAAGGAAGCTGCTATTCTTTCACATGAGAGTTAAAGAGTATAGGAATCTGAACAGGTGATCCACTGGATATGGCAGTAACATATTCTTTTGTCATTTCATCTCACTGTGCCCTCATCAGTAGGGCGGGCTATGATCACAATACTTCTCACATGGAATAGTGAAGCTGTAACATGTAACATTATGTACTTTTCAAGAATGCTTAAATATGCCTCAGGGAATTACAGAACAGGAAACAGATTTACTGTGCCGTGGCAGCACTAATAGCCGACCTTATATAACTTTCTGCACCTTTTTCCAGTCATTCCTAAAGACACCTAAAGAGATCATAATAGAAATAAAACATGAATATGGTGGCAGAAACAAGTAGTAAATGAAGATGGCTTTGGAGGCTTCCTGGATTATCCTGTTTCCACATATGGTGGTTGGCAATGGATTATTTCCTTCTAAGCATAAATCCTACTTGTCTTGTAGAGGATTTTTAGAAAAGCTACATGGATACTGGGATGGGATACTATCTTGTCTAGACTTTGTAAAAACTTACCCAGCTGAAAAGGCCAAGGATAGAGCTGAGCAGTTACTAACAGCCAGAAACACCTCCCCATCACCCTCTCCAACTTAAGGAAGGAGGATTGTCACAGGAACTAACGGAGAAATGGATGGAATGAGAGCAGGAATCATGGAATCATTAGGTTGGAAAAGACCTTTAAGACCATAAATGGCATCTAAAAGCTATTTAGAGGGTTGTTCTTTGCAAAGATCTGCAGCGTTTCTTCTCCTTCTCTTATACATCCTTCACCAGAATATAGTTCTTCTGAACATTACAGGAAAGGAGCTGCACAGCAGGAACATAAAGAGGAAATACAGGACTGTGCTAGAACAAGCTCACCAGATATATATCTTTTCTGTGTGATACAGGTCCTAATCCCACTCTGACAAGCACAGGTAGATTTTTCTTATTTTCAAATCTCTTCTGCAGACTCTGCTCAAAAGTAACCAGTTGGTACTGTCTGTTACAAGCCTTACTCGTAAAAGACGCATACAAAGCAAAGGAATAAGAGTATCCAACTAAATACAGACTGTTCTTCAGAACTTTCTTATAAATATGCCTCAGGACTTCTTGGAGGAAAGAGCATTTTGCTCCCATTACTTAGTTTCAGTGTAGCAGAAACATTCAACTTGCCAAATCAGAAGACAAAGATATGATATCTGCTTCCTTCACTTTTGTTAATTCCTGCTCCTGTTGGTCACTCCCATTCCCAGGGACAGCTTTCCTTCCAGTCAGAATCAGTCAATCATCACAGAGAAATCAGTTAATGCTTGCACTGGGAATTCTCTGATAAGCTGGAATTCAGCTCTTAAGCAGCAAAGGGAAGATTTTATGTGGCTGACTGCCAAGAAACACACATTCATTTCACTCATTTCTAAAATAACCTTGAAAGAACTGCTTTAAACCTACCCACTAAGACCTATGCCAACTTCCCCTGTTAAATACACGTATTTGCCCTGAAATGTGAATCACTGAGCCTGCAGAGATTCCATTTAATTAATAAAAACCTCTGATAGTGAAGGATTAAAGGGATTATGCAGTCACAAAGCAAAGTAAAAAAATTAAAAGTCTGCTTCTGTGCTCCATTCATTTACTGCCTACGCTAAGTGGACAGCTAAATGCCAACGATTATTAGCATTCCTCTTTAATTAGTCAGAAGCTCCTGCCCACACACTGAACTTCTATAGAACTACCTGAAATTTGTCCTCTGATACCAGCTGTGGATATTAGAGTGATAAGTGATCCTAAGCCTCTGTGGTAAAATCAAGAACATGTGTATGCCAAATGTGAAAAGCTTGACAGAAAAATAAAAAAAAGGCACAAAGACATGTCTGACAAAAATTGTCTTTTTCCATCCCCACTGTAGATTAAAGCCCTTATCCTCTAGCTTTTTTAGACAAGGAAAAGGGCATAGTCTTCAAAGATAGCAAAATCTAAGTTTCTAATAAAATGTTTGTAGCAAGAAACTAACGAGGCAGAGCACCATGCAATTAAGAGAGTATGAAGTATCTCAAGCAGGGAAATCTGGAAGATGCCTCTTTTGCCTTGTCTATCTCTTGAAATCTGCTGCTTTAGTATTTCTGCACTTCTTCACTTTGTGCTGGAAAAAGTACAAGACAACAGCCTGGCCTGCCCGTGCCATTATCCAAACTAGTAAAAAAAGAATCAGCAGGGTATGTCTTTTTGACATTAGTACTACCATTTTTTTAAAAGCTGCATGTGAAGCCTTAGGGGACAGAAATGTTGAAATTCCTTCATTTAAATCCTCAGCTGAACAGATACCTGTGTAGGCTGGCTCCAGGACAATAATTTCTTTGGAAAACCCCTCAATAATCTTCTTAAAAAATAATAAGTGGTCTAAGAAAAGAACAAGAATGAAAAATGTCATAGTATGCAGCAGTCATCTAGTCTGCAGCAGGATTGCCTTGACTCTGACTGGTCTGTTTTGCTTTGATCCACACAGATGTTTGTGTGGTCTTTAGTAAGCTGAGCCTCTGATACAGTTCCAAGGCCTACAAATGATGTTGACTCCTATCAGTGAGGCTATTCAAGAAAAAGCAATGCCTGAGGAATACATAGTATATACAAGTACATACTTCTTCCAGAGGAAAAAGTCTCTTGACCGTATTTAATCATTCTTAAAAAAAACAGGTGAGAGTCCTTTAGCTGAGAAACATGTATGCAAGAAGGGAACAGAGATAAAACCTTTCTCAGAAGAGAAAAATGAAAAAAAAACCAAACGTGACCAAACACAAACACACACCAACCAACCCCAAAAAACCCATACATACCGACCCCCACCAGACGCAACCACACAAACTGACCACCCGCCCTAAACACCACCCAAACACACCCCACACACGGACGCCCCCAAAATGAACCCAACCAAACACAACCGAGCCCACCAAACACACACCACCCCGAGGCCAACAACACACCCCCGACCCCCACACCCTGGGCTCCCCTCCCAGCCCTCCAGTTCCGCCACACCCGCGCGAGGCTCCGCAGCGCCCCCTGCCGGCGCGGAGCCACTTCCGGCGAGCTCTGAGGGTGCCCCGGGCCCGGCCGATATAAAATAAAAAAAATACAAAATACAGCCACCCACGAGTCAGTCCAGCCCTGTGCAGAAAACCCAACAGGAAAATATGTTCACCTGCCCCAGTTCTTTCCCAATAGTTCTCTGCTTCTACACTCCCCATGCCAGGAAGGACTGGCATGCCAATTTGGACTACTCTGGATTATTAAAAGGTCTCTAAAAATCCAGTATTTTCCCTTGAAAATGCCTCACAACAGAGTTTTCTGCGACAAAGAAACCCAAATCGGAAACTTTTGCCATTTCCAAGTGCAGCAGTGTTGCAGAAACATGTGCACCTACCAAGAAATGAGCCCAAGGCTCCCACCTGCTCTATGGGTGGGACTGGTGAAATGTGGAAGAAGGATCGACAGAGCTGATTAACAGCCTGTGCCTTTCATCAAGGCTGCTTTGTACTCCTTTCTGTGATTAGTGTGATGACCTGAAAAATTAAATAAAGATTTTATTCTGTTTTTATCCAGATCATAATTTCTTATTAGAGGCGAACGGATTATTTAGGATACCTTGGGATAGCGCTAGAAGGGTACAGAGAAAGTTCCAGCCTTGCTGCAGATGTGTTCCTTTCTTTCCTTACACTGTCTGCTCTCATAATTTCAGTTTTAAAAATAAACTATAATTGCGTAGTTAGTTCCATTACATTTTTTGTGAAAGAAACCTTATTTCAAGATCAGGTCTCTGCTCCTCTGTTTGTGGCTGTGTCATCCAGAATTCAATTCCCATAAGATATCAATGTGCTGGACTTCCAAGCTCCAGTCATGCCAGACTTACTTTCCTTCACATCAAACAGAGAGAAGCTTCAGTTTTGTAATTCTGTAGTGCTGAGAGGACAGGAGAATTAAGAACCAGTTTGTCAAGCTTCACTTGGAAAATACACCCTGACTACAGTGGGCCAGTCCAGCAGGACCAAAAAGCAAGAGGGTTCTCCCCCCTCAAACTGGTGGAACCTATACTACAGAGCAGCAGCGTTTTGGCAGCTGTGATCCTGTGCTCAAGAATTTTTAGACCACTTGCCAATTCTGTACCAAAATAAAATATATTCAGAAGGGCCTATGGACCTGCCATCTGCATTGCACAGACCTATGTGTTCAGGTACGCACGCACACTCACCTATGCACTTCAGCCCACCACAGAACAAGAAAATTTAAGTCGGAACCTCTCGCAGATGTTACCTAACATTGAAAGAAATTCAGAGGATA